GGGGAGCGCTACTACCATGAACTGCCTTGTCCTCCTCCCCAGAGCTGCTCATCCGGGTCGGGCTGGAGATACAGTCAGGGGACCCCGTCGCCGCCGCCGCGCCCCCTCTTCTTTCGGCTCAATCTTCTCTTCCACCTTTTCCTCCTCTTCCTCCACCTTCTCTTCCTGCATCCCCCCCTCCCCCGCCGCGGATCCTGGCCGCTGCTCTCCAGACCCAGGATGCCGGGGGGCAAGAGAGGGCTGGTGGCACCGCAGAACACATTTTTGGAGAACATCGTCAGGCGCTCCAGTGGTAAGGAGAGTTGTAGTTCGGAACACCCCTACCTCCATCCCGCCCACACGCGCCCCCCATCCTCTCCATCCCATCCCTCTTCCAAGGGGGGAGGGGGATGCAAGCAGCCTTACCTGGTGGTGTCAGTTACCAGTTGGGCTGGATTTGGGGTGGAGTGGGGTGGCAATGAGATGGTGGAGGAAAGTTAGTTGCATCCCCTTCCTACCAGACAGACTCACCCCCTCCCACCTGTCCAGAGCCCAGAACTGGAGGAAAGAAAGGGGTTGGATAGGGTGTAGGTACATCTGGAGCATAGAGTTGAGTTTTGCTTTTATCTTTCTTGTTCTTCCTTCTCCCACATTTCCCCCCAAAGTGAGCAGCAGGGACTGACCAAATTCTGAGTTAATCTCAGTGGAAAGGTTTCCCTCAAGTTGGGAATGGCTGCGAAAGTGGCTACTTAACAAGATTTAAATCTCTGGAAAGGCTTTTGGCCTCATGGGCATGGGGAAATGTGCTTTGTGCTGGGGAGAGTAGTTGAGGTTGAACCTAAAAAAGAGTTCAGTGCTTGAAAAATGGGAAGGCAATTACTGTGGACAAATTGGTGTTTAAAGTTTCTTCTTGCTATGTTTTTCACTGTACATTGGTCTATATATTTCGTTCAACTTAAACATGAGAAACGTAGAAGTGAAGCAGTAACTATTGTGCTTTTAATGCAACTAGAAAAAAAAATCAAAAAGATGCCATCCTACCTTGCTACTGATGTTAATGTTTTCTTGCCTTAATGTGTCTTTAAAATACCATCCATTTATACATTCATTTCCTACAAGATATTCTGGATGGGAATGGTTATATATTTCCACATTTTAAGACCTTGTAAACTTTGCATCTTACTGAAATCTGCATTTTCTACTTGTTTTTAATTATTTTGTATAATTTTAAACTTCATAAGTAAGATATGTTGAGTATCTTTTAAAGTTTTTCCTTCAGAGGCTGTTATTTTGAGATCTCTTGCTTGCTTGCTTGGAGAATAATGAGAAAGACACTTCTGTATATGGAGTACAGTAGAGCTTGGAACAAAGCAATGGAAATACTCTATGCTGTTCCATAGTGCCTTGTTTATTCTTTCACTGAAACAATATGTATTTGGGTGCATTATACCATAGACACTCTGTGGTTTCTTGGAATTAAAAAAAAGTAATTAATACACATCCCCTCTTCTTAAGAGGCTCCCTGCCTGGTTGGAGGCACACGGAAAGACAGAGGCACACTGAAATGATAACAAATAATTAAATGAATAATGCTTTCCCTAAATGGTAGATTAGATTATACCAATTCTTAGATTAGAAACTCTTTTAAGACTAGGCTTGCAAATATTTCCTCTGATTTTGAAACTAACTGTATTTAAGTGTCTCAAAGTATTTCCCCCAAATATCTGACTTGTTATTTGTTTTTAATTTGAGGTTTTAAACTTTATTTCTTCATTTTGGCCGATGCCTGAAACAATACAAGTCTAAAGCAGTAGTGTTGTATTTGGGTTGGAAAAAGTAGCTAATAGGGTCTGGCCTAGTATTCTTTTAAATACCTCTAATATTTTTTAGTTATATAAATTCATAATGGTAGGCAATTTTTATACTTATACATTACCTTCTTGTATTAATATTATAGTAAGCCTATAATACAAGGGGATATTACTCTTCAAACAGTTTGGGGGAAATGTGTGGGTTATTGGAATTAGTTAAGTATATAAGTCTTATTTCAGCTTTCTCATCCTCTTGGGTTATTTCAACTCCACGCAGTTTGGTGTATGAGAGGACTTTTCAGAGAAGGCCTTAAAAAATAAAATCTGCAGGCTTATGATTGCTCTGCTTTATAAAGAGAAAGAACGTGAGAATCCCTTGACTAAACTTTACTAATATAGCAACTTTGGTTGAAGCTTCTTATACAGACTATGAAACTATGAGATAGTTTTTGAATTTTAAAAAATTGTAGATATACTATGAAAGATTTACCATAGGTGGCTTAGAAATGTCTGTTTCTGTTGCCTCCATTTTATATCTACCACTCAAATTAATAAATATTTTATCTTTTTTACACATCATGTTCATAATCATTTCATTGGTTAAATGTTTCTTTCCTGGATAATACCAAGTGCAAATGAAAGTTTATCTGTTTTGGCACTTAAATGCCACCTCTAATTGCCTATGGCTAACTTCGAATACCACCACGCAAAGACCCTGAACTGTTTGAAGTGTGTTAGATATTTGTAGTGAGTATATATGCAGGTGTGTGTGATAAATGCTGAAAAGTCTCAGGACCTCTTTTATAGGAAGAACCTCAGAAATTGAGAATTATGGTATTAAATTGGTCTACACATTCACGGGGGGAATATCCCGCAGTTGTTGTAATTTCTATATGATTTGGCAGAGAAATAGAAAAATTTATCCTGAGAACTTGTCTAATTGAGACAAATAGAAAATTCCCTTTAGGATTCTCACAAATGGATCTTTGAAGCTTTCATTATTCACTAACTTAACAACATTGAAAGTGAACTGTTGGCAGAGCTTTAGTAGGAAGAGAAAGAATAGAACCCAGCGCTCCCAATCTATTTAACAATTGAAGAAACAGAGGCTGGCCTTGTCTTTTTTACTGAACCCCAAGAAAAGCTCTTTCTGATACAACATCATTTTCTTCTCATGAAAAGTCAGATCTTATAGTGAGAGTCAGCCAAACATAGAAATACATATAGAGAGACGCCCAGATAATACACAGCCACATGGATAAACACTCAGCCGGTCAGGCATCCACCCGGAAAACTGAAAAGAGGAATTTCCTACTTCTCCTATTTTGGGATTTGTCTGTAAAGTATGTCTACCACCCTACAGACACAGAGGAAGCAGTCTAACTCTTTTTTTCTCTCTCTTGCACACAAGGAGCAAAATAAGAGATGTAGAAAACAAAACAAAACAAAACACACAGCAGAGAGAAAGGGGTGGGGTGGGGGAGAGAGAGAGATTATGGGACATGAAAGGGAAATGGACACAAAGAGAAAATGTCAGACATTTATTAGTCCATGGATATCACCAATGAACTGAAATCTCAGCCAGTTACAAATTTACCAGAACACTTTTTGATGATATGAAACAAAAAAGAAGTATGGCATATTTGAATATTACTTTTATACCTGACGATTTCTTAATAAAGTTCCAAACTCCTTAGATGCAGTTTCCCAGAATAACAGCGCTGTATTCCGTACTCCAGAGTAGCAACTGTAACCTATGTTATTATTTCATGCCTCTTGAGATTGGATTTTTATTTTTCTTATTTAGTTGACTCAGTCTGTTATAAGCCAGCATTGCAAGTTGTTACTGGTGATTCAAAGTCTATAAAATAAAATAATGAGGGCCATTGAGTAGGATGGATACACACACACTTTACAGCCAAATATCAAAAGCAGCAAGGAATTCTTCTTTTTAGTTTTAAGATAAAAGATCATTTCTAGACAAAAGGAATTATAATAATTCTTAGCATGTGATTCTAGTAAATATAGAGAGCATTATTACTCTAAGAAGTTGTAAAGGTTAAAGTATAAATGCCATAGGACTGTTTAGACACATTTTTGGCTAGTACAATCAAAATAAGCCATTAGTAAGGGAAGGTTTAGAGAACTATGTGGTGAGTTCATTACCGCTGAGCAAAGTCTCCCAGAAGGACCCTGCCCCAAGGGCTTACAGACCAGATTTGTGTCTAGAATATTATTAGGATACCTTCCTTTATTTAAATTTCAATTATTTATGCAAACTGTTAATCTAAATTGGGCTCTAGGGAGCAGTAAACTTGTGGGTAGAGGTTTAGTATCTGGAAGAAAGTAACTGTTTTTAGGACTTTTAGGTTAAAATTTAGATTCGAAAGACAAAAAATACTTTAAAGACCTTCAACCTGATTTTGTCTTTGGGCAGCACGTTTTACTCATATGTTGTCTTCAATTCCTTAGCAAAGGCAGAAATGATTACTTTGAGTGACAGTGAACTAGATTGCTATTTTGAAAAATTATAACTACAAATTAATACCTTTTAACTAGAAATTAATTATTTAATATTTTAAGCATTATGACAAATTGGAAGTTTATTTTAGTTTTGTGGAAAACTAGAAGTGTTTTTCTTTTTGGGGAAGAAAAGGGGTTCAGGAAAGAAGAAAACACAGAAGGCAGTATTTTATGAACCACTTACCTTTCAGGAGAAGAAGCTCACTATCCTCAATTTTTCATTCTGCTTGAGATAGCTAGGTTGCACAAGCACTTTCTTTACTCAGCTATCTCTTACTTGTAGAAAAGTCCAAAATTATTTTCATGCTGTAATTGACATTTGTACAAACTGAGTTCTTAAAAGAAACCTATAAGAGAGGAAGCAGAACTAGTGATCTATAAACAAAACAAAAAAGGAATAATAACTTTTACAATTAGCCAATTTAAAAGAAATGATGGAACACAAATGGGCTTTATTTTGGTGGTTGTTATGAAGTTATTGACACTTTTTCTTGAAAGGTTTTCTTTAATATCTAAGACACTGTTCAGGAAATATTGATAAAACCACACAGTGTTTTTGAAGCATTGGTTTACTCAGGTCTTATAATGTACCACTTTAACATTTAAAATATCAAAGAGGTTGAAATTATACTGACCGCTTCCTAAATTATATTTATACATAACCACAAGATTGTCCCTTGCATTAGATTCCTGCACTCTGTTATATAATAAATGCAGCACATTGCTGATAGAGGGATGCTTATTCTAAGATATTGTTATCTTCACTAGAAATTACCCTCTTTGTCTATCTTTTGCTTGATTCCAGAAGTAGGATGTGTAAGAAATCCATCTACCTAGGCACTTTGTAACTGACTTACTAAAAGGACCATATAAACATTATTTTTAATAGAAGGGAGTAGTTATGATTATTTTAATTGATAGTGACTGAGCAGATTTCCTAAAAAAGCCCTTTAGTTTAGTCAGTGTTCATCTCTTTCTT